ATATATATATATATATATATATATATATATATATATATATATATATACGTACATATATATATACACAGTATATGATGGCCTATGTGAGGCTGCAGAGCACCACCTCGGACACCATACTGAGCAGCACAGAGGCTCCTCAGGGGATGGTCCTCTTGCTGTTTCTGTTCACCCTCTACACCTCAGACTTGAAGTAAAACTCACAATCCTGCATCTGCAGAAGATGACTCTGCTATTGTGGGCTGCACCACTGGTGACCAAGAAGCTGAGTATAGAGGTCTGGTGGACAGAACCACCTGCAACTCAACGTTGGAAAACCTAAAGAGTTGCAGGTGGACTACAGGAAGAAGACCCCCCCACCCCCACCCCTATCAACATCAAGGGTACTAAGGTGGACACTGTGGACTGCTACAAGTATCTGGGGGTCCACCTAGACAATAAACTGGACTGGACATCTACCACCAACTCCCTCTACAAGAAAGGGCAGAGTTGCCTTTTTCTTCTGAGGAGACTCAGGTCCTGTAATATCTGCAGGACCAAGCTGCAGCAAATGTTTTACCACTCGGTGGTCTCCAGCATCTTTTACGCTGTGGTGTACTGGAGCAGCAGGGTGAAGAAAGCTGATGCCAACAGACTTGATAAACTCATGAAGTGAGCTGACTCAGTTCTGGGAGTGGACCTGCAGTCTCTGACAGAGGTGTCTGAGCAGAGGATGCTGAGGAAACTGCTGCAGATCCTGAACAATACGTCACACCCCCTGCATGACACCCTGGACTCCTACCACAGCACTTTCAGTCGTAGACTGAGACCACAGAGGTGTTCCACAGAACAACACAGGAAGTCCTTCCTCCCTGTGGCTATCAAACTTTTTAACCCCCCCCCCCCTCTACATATAGGACAATAAAATGAATCCTGCACCACAATAAACTCTAATGTTTCTGTCTGCACCTGTTCAGAACTGAATTGTTGGTATTTACATCCATCCATTATCTTTACCCGCTTATTCCATTTTGGGTCACGGGGGTCGCCGGTGCCCATGTCCAGCAATCACTGTGCGAGGGGCGGGGGACACCCTGGACGGGTCTCCAGTCCATCACAGGGACACCCTGGACGGGTCGCAAGTCCATCACAGGGACACCCTGGACGGGTCTCCAGCCCATCACAGGGACACCCTGGACGGGTCTCCAGTCCATCACAGGGACACCCTGGAC